AAAAGTTCACTTTTCATCACAGCGTGATGAAAAGAATAATTTATCTGGATTTTCTTAATTTCCACACTGAGAAAAAAATATAATTTTGCCAATCAAATTTGTTTCAGACAAACAAATGCCCAAAATTTCCACACGAAATCTCATTGTTAATTCTTGCCTACAAATTTGATTGACAGAATTATATTTTCTCGTAGTGCATTGATTTTCAGAGAATTATAGAACTAAAACTTACAGTTTCAATTAATTTTTTCATTAAATTATGAATATTTAATGATGGAAATTCTTGAAATTTCAGAGCATAAATTTGAAAAATTGAAAACTCAAGTGAGTTCGTGAAAACTCATTTTGTTTTTGAAATTAAACCACAGTAAAAATAAGACAGTTTACAGTTTTCATGAATTTTTTCATAAAATTGAGATTTTCCAAGCAGTGTTTCGGAAATTACACCGTAAAATTGTTTTAATCGACAATTCAAGTGAGTTTGAAGAATATTGAATGGAAATAACACGGAAATTTCGCTACTTATCTTAGATTAATTAGCGTAAAACATGAATTTTCAGGATTAAATAGAACCGAATTTCCCTTATCTTTCCTAACTTCCGCTAGATAATTTAACAGAAATTTTATTTCCACTGCTGTTCTCATTAAATTATAATTTTTTAACTACAAGATTCATTGAAATATCGGTGGAAATATCACTCATCAAAAATTTTTGAGATGTTTATCAGAATTTTTTGACAGGGATCATCATTCTTCGGTTTCTTTTCACGCTGGGTGTTCTAGATACCAGTGCTCTCAATTAAATTTGATTATGGGAGGGAGAGATGCCCCTGTGGCGAATTTATATGCAATCAATTACCCATTGGTTTTGGTTTTGAAATGAAAAAAGGTGGATATGAGGAGCATCTCCTTTTATGGCTCGGTGAAAGCGGGACCAATGGGGTCGGGTGGATGCCTGTGTCAGGGACGAGATATGTGTCATGCAGGATGAATAATCCTTATATTATGGAGTTTGACGGGATCTTTAGAGGTGCAATTGAATGCGGGAGGTCAACTCTGATGGATTAAAAATATTGCAGTGGATTTGAGAATATTTTGGTAAAAGAGCAACGATTTCGATAATGTTTGATGAAGATTTATTTAGAGTGGAGAAATGCTTGGATTCAGGATTTTTTATTGTCGGAGCAAGAATACAATTGCTAAATCATCAATGAGGGTGTTTTAATTCTAAAGGGAAAGAATCAAAATCTGCCATACAAAGAGACGATTTTTTCAATTTATAGAATAATATTGAGTAAGAATAGTTCACTTATTGATTGGAGGATCTGGTGCTTCAATTCGAAACGTTTGAAGTTCTTGCGGTGAGGAATTTTCATTTTTTATTCAAGAACATTCTCGATTACAAGCCATCGAGGAATTGCCAAATCAAAACTGAGGTTCAACCGAACCAACAATTCCAAATAAATGAACCAAGAATTTAGATCATAACTACAATCCAGAATGGACTTCAAAATTTTCCATCATTTTAAGTCCAAGAATTAATCAACACTGAGGAAATAATAATTTTCATGTTAATAAATGAGAAATCCTCCTTTGAACAGAGGAAAGAAAATAAATCTACAGTATATTTTCCCAAGTCAAAGTGTGAAAATCTTTAAATTCAAAAAATGTCACACTCTTGATCTGAAATAATTAATTCCCGTGAATTTTATTTGCCTTTATCTTTGATTTAATTCCACTTCAACGCAGTTTATATTCCAATTCCTCATTCGCTAATTAATTATTATAATTATAATCCAGAATATTGCTATAATGGACTCTAGAATTTTTTATCATTTTCAGTCCAAGAATTAAATAGTGTTTCGCAAGAAAAAACTACTCTTCAATAATAGTTCGCATGTCAATCCTCCTTTTAACAAAATAAAAATAAACACATCTACAATATATTTTCCCAAATCAATGTGTGCAAATCTTTAAATTCAGAAAATATCACACTCTTGATCTGAAATCATTAATTTCCGTGAATTATTTATTTTATGTGCCTTCATCTCGGGATTAAATCCACTTTCATGCAGTTTATATTGCAATTCCTCATCCACCAATTAATTGACCGGAACATTGAATAAACCCCCGAGCAGTCTTTTTCGCTCGACTCGCCGGATTCATTCTAGAAAATAATTTCCACGTTTTCATTCGCACAAATCCGCGTGCTTAAACACACTTTACCATCAAATATATTCCTCCTTATTAATTCCACCGTTTCCAGGAACAAAAAGTAATTTAAACGTCCGATAAAAATGGTGCGCA